CACTGCTTTGCTTGCAATTTTTATCATACTGTCAGCATTCTTATTCAAGGGTCAGATGGTGAAAACCAGAATGTCAATCGCTGACTTCTCAACCTCCTTGAAGCATTCTGGGAGTTTTAGTGCGTTACTAATTATGCTAGGCCTTGCTTAGCATAAGCACTATCTCACATTCATGATTGAGCAAATATTAGTAGTAGTTTAACAGTAGTTTATTTACAGCATTTGCTAAAACAATACAGTAAAACTGACAATAGAATTATAGATAATAACAACATTATATAATACATGGTTATGAGTAAAAACATACAAAAAGATCATGTATTCTGCCAGTGTGAAAGTATTTTAAAATGTGACTCAACCTACACAGTCATTTTTAATGCTGCAGTATTAAAATTTTGAATGATTATCCCAAAAGTATCCTAAATATTCATTAACCTGGTTTACTGAAGTACATCTATTTATTTAAAATTATTCCTTTATTTATACTATTTTTATGATAGTCTTATATTTCAAGAGAACACAGAGGCCTCTTTACAACTGACAAGTGACATTGTTTCTATGCAATCAACCATGGTACATTTTGGGGCATACTCAATCTTTCACTGTTAAAAGTGAGTTACATGGTTAAGAAAATTTATCCAAATGATTACCTTATTTATCTCAGTAGAAGCTGTGTGCTTGGTGTTTGGAAATTTTTCTCAGCCACTTGTCATCTTTAATAATACCTTGTGAACAGTTTCCACAAAATCTATTATGAAAATTGAATAATTGCACTATACATAATCAGCTAATGCTGTAAGAATATTACTGGTTTTAAAAAGTAGCACAATATATATCAAAGAATATTGTAACAAAGGCTGACAATAAGAATAGAAGGTTATATGCATACGCAAACTGCACTCCTCAGATTCAAGAACATTAAGAGTTTCAAGTGCTGCATGATTTTCTCTTTACTCAATTAATTTACTGTTCATTAATGCTGATTTAAAAAGCAAGGCTGACAGAAATTTATTGAAGTGAGGCACAATGCATATAGAAGTTTTGCAACACTCCCTCACCCCTCATAACAATTCTGCCAATGAATAAAAGTTTTCATCTACTATTCCACTTCTGGGTCTGTCTTGAGTAGAGGAACAATTACCCTGTGCCTTTTGTAATGTATGCAAATGTAAATTAAGATGAGAACTCCAGACATGCTCTGTGGATTATTTTCACTTATGGATCCGAAGTCAAGTGTGAGTGAATAGCCAGTGCATTAACCCACAGTTCAGAGGAGACTTTTCAAAATGAGTTGCAAAATGACATCAATCAAAAAAGTAATGTAAAATAAAATCCAAATAAATTATATTAAACTGAAATGAATTCTCTGTGTCATCAAACTGTGGTTCAGTAGAAAATTTTATGAAATAGTAACCTTTCTAGACTTTTACAAGTAATGCTTCTTAATATTAAAATGATCCCTTAATTGAGAGCTGTCAAAAAGAATTTGCCCTCTGGGTTTTACATGTCTATTATTATCTTGATCCTAGGGAAAAAATATGTCCTAGAATAATGTTAATTTTCTGGTAATTTAGTCTGTGCTCTAAAATGCCCATCTTTAGCCTTGCGTTGCTAGCACTTACAGAAAAAAAATAGAGGAACCATTTAAATGAATTGTTGCAGTTCTAGCATGTTAAATGACTTGCTTTCCCCATGGAAAAGGAAGTGGAAGGTATCCAAACATGCATGCAACTAGAATACTTATTTCAAATGTATTTATTTATGTTCTTAATAAAGGGTTTCCTAACAAAATCTGTGCTTCCCATGCCTATAGCCTATACATTTGTTATCAGAGGACAAATGTATATTATGAATCTGTATTACTCAAGTAACAAAAAAGGGCAATTATTGTGTTCTTCGAAAGTCTTATTTAGGTGTACCTTCAAAAAGTTGATTCCTGGTTTTAAGTTGTATGTTCTTATTCAGTACTTCAACTTCCCTTTCACACTGTTTTCACTCATCAAGTTTGTTCACTTGTTCAGAACTAAGAATGGTTTGGATTTGTTTGGATGAAATTATGCTAGCGTTTTTGCATGAATATGTTCAAGAAAATTGAGTTTCTAGGGCCTGATCCTGCACAACTAAAATTAATGAGAGTTTTACCATTGACTTCAATGTGAGCAAGATCAGGCTATAGGTTAATTAGCCGTCCTTACAATGGATTTCAGAAAACAGGTCTCCATTGAACTTGAGCAGAGGGCAGAAATTCCATTTAGTGAAAAACGCTAAACTTTCAATATCTGACTGTTCTCAGACAGAATAAACAATGACATTTTTTTTAATACTTGGTGAAACACAATTTGTAAAAATCTTTTGGAATAATTATGAAGTTTTACTGTGACACAATCAAAAATCATTTTAATGTTGTTTTTAAAAAAAATGCTCTACCACAAATTTAGACATTTCAAATTAAATCAAACTGTTTTCATTCTGAAAATGTCAAAACGACATTTTAACATTGTTAGAACTTTTTCATTTCAATTTTTTCCCTAAATATTCAATTTGGCAAAACCAGCCGTTTCACAACATTTTTCAGTTTCAGAAGACCTGCATCATGTGTAAGTTAGTTCCATCAGTTTTCCATCCAGCAGTGCTGTTTCATTCTAGTGAGACCTCTATTCTATGTTCTGCTTATAGAATGATTGAGAATCATTTTTTTCCTTGTATTTTTCGCCCTCGCTTTTTTTAGATACCATTTTCTGTGTCTTTTCCATATCCCCCAATCTTTTATGTGTTGGTCACCAACTAGTCAGCCATGAATCTGCCTACAATTTTCCCCACTGCAATGTAAGTGAGACTCCTTATGGTCACACCTAAGAATTCATGGTCCTGCCAAACCACGTTCTTTCCCTCCTCCTCTCTGGGAAATCTTTTAGAACACATAAACTAAGAATCTAAATTAATTCCAGAGAATCTCTCACTTTATCTGGAAGCTGTTAGTTGATCTTCTAAAAGATCTATGAGAAGCCTTTATAGTGAAGTTTTCTTCAGCATAACTCTTCTGGGAAAATTTCACATACTATTTGCAAATCTAGCTGTACAAACATATAAGCTGGAAAAAAAAGGAATGAACAATGCTCATAGAAACCTATTGTGGTTTTTAATTAGCTATCTTTATAAATACTAAAAATCATTGCTTGCTTCTGTTTCCACAGATTGCCCACAACCTCCAAATATTCCCATGATAATGTTGGGTGTTTCCCTAGCTATCCTTCTAATTGGCATTGTTCTACTTTGTATATGGAAACTGCTAGTGTCATTTCAAGACCGAAAAGAGGTTGCCAAGTTTGAAGAAGAAAGATCAAAGGCCAAATGGCAAACGGTATGTGTGTTAATTTTGTACAAGTCTCTACGAGACTCTGTTTGGCTCCAGGAGTCACCAGTAATAAAGAAAATGGACAAATTTCCCAAATCATACTTTTTCAGTATACATTTCATTATATAGTATGTTACTCATTAAAATAGAATAGAAATAACCAAAATTGATCATTTTTCAATATTCCTTGTTTTATTTCTTCCACAAGTAAAAAGATGCATGGAGGTAGTTTTTAATCAATAACTGAGTAATTATTCAATGAATTATTTTTTGACAGACCTGCCCATGAAGACTTGGCTAATATTAGAGGCGTTCCTTTTCCTTCCAGTTCCTTCCGCCTGGAACTTTTACTCTTTTGCATTTGCCTTTTAATAAATGAGGCTTTCTGGAAACTTCATGTTAAGTAAGAAGAGCACAGGAGGGATTTGCGGGGGCTATAATACATAACACAGTGATCCATTGACTCTTCATCTACACCCAGATATAACAAAATAGATTGCAACAGTTCAGCAAGACCAGTAACTGCCTGCCCTTCAGCATCTGAAATCAAAAAAAGGGTAGAAGCTATATGCCTCTAGTTAATGTAGGCTGGGGCAGGCTGGGAATTTTCCATACTGACTTGGGGTAGCTAAAGCTGAGAGGAGGGAGTGGAAGGATCCATCTGGAAGATGAGAGAGAAAGTGAATGAGTTTCTGAAGGGAAAATCAGCAGAGCGCCACAAAATGTACTGGAAACCACTGCTACTGAAAATAAGAGATCTGTTTTTTAGGGGAAAAAATGATAAATGAGATATTTTCAAGCTACAGCCATTCCCCCAAAATATTGAAAACAGATAACTGGTCCTGGGGGTAATCCTTGAGAAGATGTAATGCCATCAGCACTCTCTGAGGTTTGGCTGGACTTCTTTTCAGGATCCCCCATATCTTGACTAAACATCTGTATAAAAACATATTTCACTTCCATCTGAAGCTTAAAACTAAACCTCAGAAAATGTATTTGTGGCTTCAGGTTTTGTTATGAATCTTTTCCTGGCTGTGGAGTTGACATCCAGGAAGAATTGACAGGTTGTTCCATTAGAAAGTCCAAGGTCATTTCTGCAAGGGCAGGGTCGAAGTGTTCAGGCCATATTTCAAGCACGTTCTACCTACCTAAATTCTTCCTTTATTCTCAGATATAATAGTCTTCACTTCTTGTCTGAAGCTGTGTGTTGGAGTTGCTCATTCCAGTTCTCTAACGGGCACCACCAGAACCCTGGATATTCCCAAATGTGCAGGTTCTGGACGTGCGCTGCCCCCCCGTCCAGCCATGTTTACATCATGGTCATAGAGAAAGGCACGAGCTGTGAACTTGGTTCCACAGTTAAGAGATATCTCTTAGATAGGTGATGTATTTTATCCCAGAAATGCCTGCAAACAAAGTGAGAGACCCTGATCTTGTGAAGCTCTGATCACCCTCTGCTTTGACTGGCTGACTGTGGGCTCTAATGAAATTCAGCACCTCATAGGACCTGATCCTTATTTTGGGCTAGACTGAGTTATGAGGCTCAGCATTGAGTAAGGGGTACCACTCTAAAAGCAAATCTGTCAAATTATACTTCAGAGTCAGAATTCAACCCCTACCCTCTCCTTGGTTGGGTAAGGAGTAAATTATTTCAGCCATTTTTTGAGTGAAATATGCTCATTCAACTGCTCTAACTATTGGGGAGAGGAGGGAGACTCAAGGATCCCTTTCCATGTCCTTCTCTATCCTCCATCCCTTACCTATAGTGAACAACATTGATAGAGTAGCCCCTAATTTTCCCCCTGTAGCTGGGTTAGGATCTTAACAAGTCTTACTTTTTCCTAGCCCTCAGCATGAATTTGAAAAAAACTGCCATGTAACATTAATGCCAATGTTGCTATGAGGAAAGCATAATACCTGCCTCCTAGCGTGCATATGGTATGTGAAAATACATATAATCAATATATATATTGATATATACATTACATATATATGTGGAGCAGGGCCTATCACAGGGGGGGGCCAGGACGGCCATTTGGCCCGGGCCTCTCATTCACAGAAGGCCTCAAATTTAGACTTTTGACATTATCTCCAAATGAGGTTACACATACAGACAGAGATACACTGACAGGATTGAAAGAAGACGATGTTCATCATACAACTTTAAACTTGTGTCCCATTACAGGGCCACACTGCCTGTAATGCACTATGAATTAATATTTTTTTTAATATACCGGGAGCCTCAAAAAATGGAAGTGGCCCAGGCCTCTCTCGACCTCTGAGAGGGCCTGATGTGGAGAGAGAGAGAGAAAAGTGTGTGTGTGTACCAACATTTCCATATATAGTTTAAATATGTGTGTAGGGAGAGAGAGGAAAATATCCTACTGCTCATGGCTGCATGCAGGTAATGTTTGCCATCTTTTGATCGCAGTAAAAATGGTTTGGCCAGACCTGAAAAGACATGCACTATGTGTAGCCTTGTTTAAACATGATGAAAAGAAACAATGAACAAACTCATATTAATAAACATTACATATCCTAACTGGCACAAATTTATGTGTTCACAGAATACCCAGCAGGACTCATAAATTAGTAATATCTTCTTAAAATCTTATAAAACAGAGACATTTTAAACATGAATCACTTTTCACCCCAAATATAGCATATCTTATCTAGGATGAGCACATACTTAAAAGTCAGCTGGGAAGTTTTTTATGCTTTTTGAATAAAATAGAAAACATGTCTGGAAGTTACGTGGGTTTGTAATTAAGGTGGGAACTGTCTACCAGTTTTATCAGTATTGAAGACACTTCAGTATTCTAATTCTTCCTCAGATAGAAAATATTATTTGTTCCATTTTATGCATAGGCAAGCTGAGATTCTGGAGGGAATCGGGATGAGAAACAAGACACTTGCTTTCCCAGTAGCTGTATCTAGTTGGCAATCAGTCATATTAACATTCACAACCTGCAGTAGCTGTAATCCTCAAATCTCTGCAAACCTTGGGTGGCAACAGAAGATTCAGCCTAAGGCCCAAGGGTTTTAAGAATGAGGTAAATAGGGAGAAGAATGAAGGGACTTTACCTACTCCACCCCCCAAGTTATAATAATTCATGACATTGGACTGCACAATAAGGTTTATACCATCCATGTTATTAAATAAACATGATTTGCTGAAATATCCTATAATTTTAGCTATAGTCTGGGGAACATTACAGTGTCATCAGTCCAAGGAGAAATGCCATCTGGAAGTGTCTTTTAGATGCCTGCCTAATGAACATAGAGAAAATGGTTCAGTCAGAGAACGATGTCATAACTGGTGGGTGCGCTTCAGCTTCTTGCAGCTGGAAGATTATTCTGTGTGTAGCAAGAATTTGCACTGCTACATGGAAAGGAGATTTTAGTATCAGATAGTACAAACCTTTGATATCACCAGGAGAAACTTGCAAAGTGTACTTGCCAAAAGGAAGATTGATTCATGTCTTCCTGTGTACAGTGTTTTCTTCTATAGTAGGTACACAGTGTTCCCACCTTTGTAAAATGCATTTATTGCTACTTTTGGGGGCCCAAAGAAATAATGAATCTATCCTTTTTCATAGAAATCATAGAAAATTAGGGTTTTTGCTCACTCTTCTTTTGTGCTTGATTATTGATAGTTATTTGATTATAAATGAGAAGGTTAGCTCAATATGTCACTTTGTATATGTCTAATAGCAATGTAAAACATCTGAGGTATGTACACATGTTCAGGGAGGTTAGATCATGTTAAAAATGACCATCTGATCTAACTTAGGGTGCAGACAGAAGCTGTCTGCTCCCAGCTGTAACTCAGAAAGTTTTCTGCAAAGCGTTTTGAGTTTCAGCCTTACCCCGGGACAACCGGAAGTTCACTGTTGGTTCTGGAGAGGAGGGGAACCCCTTTTGGTTCCTAGCTATGGGCTAGGAGCCTGCAGCCAGGTTGCCTTAGCAGTGGCCAGGCTCTCTGCCAGCGCTCACTGTTTTCAGAATAAGAGGGGGGAAAGGCAGTGGAGGGAGCTCATTCTTGGGACTCCCCAGCTACTGCTGAAGGGTGGGGTTGGTGAATCGGAGCCCTGCCACCTCAGGGGGGGCTCTAATTCACCCACCCCACCCTCCGGAGGGGGCTGAAAAAACCCCAGACTGAACTCCCTCCACTCCATTTCCCCCCTCCCATTCTCAAAACAGTAACAGGCTGGGAGCTCTGCAGACACAAGTTGCAGAAGTCACTACATTTTGAAACATCCTTATCTGATACTTCATGCAATGAGGGGGTCAGATTTTCACCGGATCAGCCACATTTCTCTGCAGCTGTGCACTTGTGTTTGGTCACAGCTATAAACTGCTTTCTGTGGCCAGATTGGGCAAAAACTGTCACTTCTGTCTGCGCCCTTAGTACACCCAGAGGCAGATCTTAAAAATAGATCCCTAGTTAGGTCAATCTAAGTAAGAACTGTACTGAAGTTCCAGGAAGGTTAGATTGGACTAAAAATAGCCATCCTGACCTCAGTTGACCCTACCTCCAAGGCAGTCTGACTTAGGTTGGGTTGGCCATTTTAAAACCAATCTAACTTTCCCAAACTTCCCAGTACAGCCTCAGGGCTAGGAAAACCCAGCCACTGGTCTCAACTCCATGACTGCACTTTTCCTACTGACCTACCTGACACCAGGCTATTTTTAGCCCCACTGCACACCCCTAGACAGACTATCCCCCCCAGATCATCCAGTCTCCCTTCCCATCAAGTCCACCAAACCTCCCATCCCACAAACTTCTTCTGATGCTGGTTTTGTCATTGTTCACTGATGCCAGCCACTGAGGAAGTAAGTCCCAGTGTGGGGAGGAAGGGAGGAATGGAAAAATAGCTTCACCCGTGGGAGGGGGAAGGGAGAGAGATACAAATAGCCCCTGGTCGTCAGTGGGGGAGAGAGCCTCTCATCTCTCCAAGCCCCCCTGCAGACCATGCATACCTCCTTGATCCCACTAAAACTTC